GTGTGTGGTGTAAGGAAATGGTCCAGTTTCATTCTTCTGCATGTGGCTGTCCAATTTTCCCAACACCATTTGTTGAAGAGACTGTCTTTTTTCCATTAGACATTCTTTCCTGCTTTATCGAAGATTTGTTTTCAAAAAAAAAAGATGTGTAAGACCTATACACTAAAAACTGTTGTGTAAGACCTATCTATACAGAATAAAACTTTGTTGAAAGAAATAAAGGACTTAAGTCAATGAAAAGATATATGGTCTTCACAGATCCAAAGACTCAATATTGTCAGGATGTCAATTCTTCACAAATTGATCAATAGATAAAATGTAAACACAATCAAAATCCCAACAGGGTTTCTTGGAGAAACTGATAAGCTAATTTTTAAAATTTCATATATGGAAAGCAAAGTACCTAGAATAGCCCGCTCAATCTGGAAAAAGAACAACAGGGGCACCTGGGTGGCTCAGTCGTTAAGTGTCTGCCTTCGGCTCAGGTCATGATCCCAGGGTCCTGAGATCAAGCCCCGCATTGGGCTCCCTGCTCGGCGGGGAGACTGCTTCTCCCTCTTCCTCTGCTCCTTCCCCAGCTGCTGCTCTCATTCGCTCACTCCCTCAAATAAATAAATAAAATCTTTGAAAAAAAAAAAAGAACAAATTTGGAGAATACACTACTGGATTTCAAAAATTCTAAAACTGCAGTAATCCAGATAGTTTCATAACAGAACACAACAGAATGTGCAGAGTAATATCCACTGTAGATGAGAGCCCATATCGAGCACTGGTGAGGAAGCGAGCAACACCAACAGGCATACAACTGCTGGCATGAGTGGAAATTGGTTTAACAGTTTCTTAAAAAGTTAAACACACACATACCACTGTGACTTAGACATCCCATTCCTAGATATTTGCTCAACCTCGAGGAATGAAAGCAATGCATATGTACATAAATATGCATTGAAGCTTTGTTTGCAATAATCAAAACCACAACAATTCAAATGCCCATCAACACAGAATGGATAGTGTATATGCATATAATGAAATACTACTCAGCACTAAAAAGCATGAACTTTTAATAAAAGCAACAATCTGTGTGAATCTCAAAATAATTATGCCTTGTCAAAGAAGTCAGACCAAAAAAGTATACATTCTATTTATATAAATTCTAGAAAATGAAAAATAATCTTTGGTGTTGGAAAGTGGATCAGACATTGCCTGGGAAGGGGATGAGGCTGGAAGGAGAAATGACAAAGGGGTACAAGGAAACTTTGAGTGTGTTAGATATTTTCCTTTTTTTTATCGTCATAATCATTTTATGGGTGTATCCATAATTTAGAAATTATCAGACTGTATGTGTAGTTTGTGTAGTTTGTTGTAAATCAAGTCAACCTAAGACGTCTGCTAAAAACAAACAGAACAAAAGTAAGGGCAAGATAGTGTTATTACCTTCATCTCATCCAGCTCCCGAAGTTCCTTAGCAGGATTTTTTTCTAAGTGACCTGCCTTATTCAGAGCCATAGCTGTTACCAGCCCTTTGCAACAACTGGGGGGACAAAAAGCACACACACAGAATGATCTATTTATTGTTGGCTCCTCTTGTAAGTGTTTTAAATCCCTATTCAGTTACCATAATAATTAAACTGTTGACAATAATCTCTGTTTCCCACCCTCATCCTGATCCCCCCCTCCATTCCTCTCACTCTTGACCACTGGTAACACTGAATGGAAATGAAGGAGAAAATTGGCTAGACCATAAAAGTTACTTCCTGAATTAGAAGCAATCCTAGTGACACATGCTTCCTAGTTAATAAATTACAATTTTTCAGACCTCATCTGTATTTGGTAGGAATCTTCTAGCTTTTCAGATATAAGGGATTTTCGGCTGAAATTTTTTTAAGAGATGTTTTGGGGGCACCTGGGTAGCTCTGTCAGTTAAGCGTCTGCCTTCGGCTCAGGTAGTGATCTCAGGGTCCTGGGATGGAACCTCAGATCGGGCTCCCTGCTCAGCTTGGTTCTCCCTCTCCCTTTCCCTCTGCTCACACTTGCTCTCTCTCTCAAATAGATAATAAATAAATAAATTTTTAAAATAAAAGATGTTGGGGCGCCTGGCTGGCTCAGCCGTTAAGCGTCTGCCTTTGGCTCAGGTCATAATCCCAGAGTCCTGGGATCGAGCCCCGCATCGGGCTCCCTGCTCAGCAGGAAGCCTGCTTCTCCCTCTCCCACTCCCCCTGCTTGTGTTTCCTCT